ACCGAAGACTTGCGAGAAACCTCGAACCTCCGCTCGCCATCTAGCGGCGAAAGTATGAACTTTGGTCGCTACAAGCTGTTCGAAAGATTCCCTATTGCAGGTTCTTGGAAAAGGTACTCAATTTTTAGAGAATATTCGTGTTCCAGGGGTGTGATGACTGCGGTTAACTCGATCGAGAGATTCGAGTGTCGATGAAGGAGATTTTGGACGAGTTCCAGGGAAGGTCGGGGATAAAGGACGATCCAGGATTCGCCGAATTAAGGGACGAAACGAGTGGTGAACCCGACACGCGTGCATTGTTCGTGACAATTGCTTGGCGCGAGAGCAACGAGAGGAATTAGGATATGATGAAACGGTGGTTGGGAAAAAGTGTCACGGATACGAGCGTAATATCGCAAATTTGTTGATGTTTAATTATTAGTCGGGTCTATAATTATGTTTGCGTTCAAGAAATTTCATTAACGCGTTCAACACGGGGCTAATTTTGTTTTACCTTCCACTTAGGCGGAGCGTAAATACGGGAAATCCGTTTGCGCGTAAACAAGAGACGGCGAGTAGAGAAAGAGACGGGAACCGAGTTTCCGTAATGCTGAAAAACGGCGTTTTTCGCGTGAAACGCTATAATAATATTTTTTAAATGCAACACCGGTTTTTGGGGATCCCCGAGTGAAATGGATCCACTTAATCCTATCGGGATCGAACAAGGGAGTAACGCAGGGCAGTGCTAATTCGGGTAATCGCGTATTTATTCTTCATACGCACACCTGGACACTGACATGTCTTATGGCTGACTGACTGGTAATTTCTGCAACGATTTCGAGGCGTGCGAAATATTTGAAAATTAATTTCTTGTTTTATACAGTGGATGGGTTAAGTTTTACTGCGATAATGTCTCAGAATCAGAATAACTATGCGTGCTTTCTAACTTTCACCGTTAGGTTTTTATTTGAATAACCAAAAACTTCCAGATGTCGCTAGAAGCGTGTAGCAACATAGAGCGGGAGATTAGAACTCTGTAACATAATTATTGTAGGTGTTGTAGTGAAAACTAAATAGTAAAGTAAACTCTACATCCTAGCGCTGTGGGGACAATTCCTTCATCTGCGTTTTGTCCTTTGTCTCCCGTTTTCTGTACACGTCTTGTGACCTGCGTGGCCCTAAACTGACAAGTTCTAACTGTTCGCCTGTTTAATAAACGTCTATACAGTTTTTCCACCGTTTCCAGTGACTACTATTTCTTTGCGGTACAACACCTTGACAGTAGGGATCAAAGTGAAGCTGCTACTGGAGTGTAGCGATCATCGTTCACATTCTCACCACTAGATGGATTCTGACTTCGAGGACCTTTTCGCAAGTCCTCGGAAAACCTCCAAATTCTATATATGTATAACATCCCGTCCTTTCAATAGGATCCCAGTCTAAGGCAGGGTCTGCTAAGGTAGCCATATCGATGAGTCCACTAGCAGGCCCAGGACGAAACGCATCTCTTCCTTTTCCTATCGTCACTTCTAGCTACACCACCACATTGAGGGTACCTGTGCCAGCCTGGCATCAATAACCATGGGGGAGGACCCCTTACAATTTTATCTCTATAATTATATCGTGTTTCTTAATTTTTCTATTGTAAATTAAAATTACTGACTAGTAGGCTCGGGACGAAACGCTCATCCCTTCCTTCCCCTTTCATCCCTTCTACCTGCTACTCTATCATAGCATAACGACCACGGAGATAGCAACAGGCAGCACCGTAGGAATCACCGAAACGACCAGGACTTCATCATCGTGGGGAGGACCCCATAAAATTCTATCTCTATAATCGTATGACCATGGGAGAGGACCCCCAAAAGAGAATCTTCGACTAGACTTTATCAGACGGCTATGACTATAATTCGACGAACTATCTTCGCAACTCGACAACTGTGACACTCGTTCTGCAAGTCTTGCAACTATGACACTGTGTATCTTTTGAACTCTCTTTACAACTATTATCTCTGACCACTATCTTAACATGTTGTTAACTGCCTTAACAAATATCTTTCTTAATTTGATGTTATACGTGTGAGTGCACGCGCATGCAGCGAGTGTATTCTGACGCGATATAGCAACGTGACTGATATTTGCTTGTCAGACAATAAAATCGCTTAAGCAGAATGGATTAGCGTTCGAAGGGGTCAACAGAAGCGATTGCGACTCGGATTAAGCAATCTTCGCTCGCCGAGGCTCGCTCGGCTTTCACTCGAATTCGATTACTATTAAAAGTATGACGATTCGAAACGTAATTTCATATTTTCCCAGGCTGAGTAACGTTTCATTAGTAATACTCTCGCGTTCCGATTTATCCCTAACGCGATTCTGTACTTAAACGTATATTTATGGTGTCGGAGTCGAGGAGGATCCAACTGCGAGAATAATTCACCGTCGATGAAACGGATATGTCAATTACGTAGACCCCGGAACTTGAAAACGTAATTCTACTTTACATGCAAATGTCAAAAGGTCCCATGAAATATTTAATTCCATCCGTCTACGAAAATGAATTTTATAACTGAAAATAAAAATGAATTATTCCTTACGTCGACACGAGTATGCTCTTCGCGTCGCGTTATTAATTCACGTTACCTTGCTTTATCATTATTCGTTACTTAAAAAGGCTTCATTTGCGCTGACAAGAAATTCACAGACGCGTGTGCTAGAAAGGTCCAGTGTTTCTGTGACAATTGTCTGACAACGTGTATACCACGTTGTTAACGATTCTGCGACTAAAACATTACGACGTGCGTGGCACGTCTTTCCAGGGTAATTGGTTAATTTCTATTCCTAGCCTCGCGAGGGCTGGTCGCGGTGGGTCAAAGAAGACCCCTAGACCGCGCGGACAAAAGTCCTCACCAATGATATACCATATCGATCTATGCAACGATTTTTCGACACAACATCAAGGACTATGAAACAAACACAAATATATAAATATAAGAATAGTAGGTTTGATAGTGAATGCAAAGGAAGACTGTAACGTCTGAAGTGTGCATGGAAGGACGAGTGACCACGTGCAAGGATCGGATGAACGGAATATTTATGACTTATGGAATGCAAATGAAGTGTTTAGGGTACGTGCCCACTGAGAGCGAGGCTATGAGAAATACCTGATTGAGAAAGGAAGCATGAGTATGAAAGAAGACAGAATGCATGGTTAACCCTTTGAGCGCTAGGAACGCATATATGGGTTCTCACACAATCGTTCAATCTGGGCTACGAACGCTGTATTATAGTTTTATGAAATAAGAATAAAATAAGAAATTTCAGTCAGCATACGCTTGGTCGTAACAAGTGGGGGGTCTACAGCACACTCGGCGCTCAGGGGGTTAAAACGAGGGTGCAAGAACTGTCCTAGGACAGTCGAGGTTTGAAAGACAATCGGTTAGAGTCGAATTCTTTACGAAGTTTGAAGAAGAGTCGATATGTGAGTGAATTGCGTGATCATAGTCCAGTTATTAGTCTAATCTTCCAGTTTGTACTTTACTCCTATTAACACTAGAACTACCAACCCAGTCAAAATGACTGGTTCCAGAATTTTCCATTTTGCAATCACCGAGCACATACATCTGCTTTAAGAATAAAATTGGTATTAACTCGTATTAAGAAAGAACTGTAATCAATATATTCGCTCATATCCATCGTACCGCTGTTAATTACTATAATCTACGCACGTTATAGTTAAGTACGCACTAAAGATCGATAATTCTAGTGTTAAACAACATTTCTTATTCCTTACATTCGCCAATCAAAGCACATCCCTATCTAAATTTTAAAACCTCTACGTAGTTGAGGAAATTAGTCCATTAAGTCTAGCGAGTAGTCTAATCTAAGTCTAATTAGTCCAATAAGTCTAGAGGGGCTCGAGAAACGTTTCAGAAACGCATCGAAGACAGGATCATTCCCGTGTTTACAAACGCAGGGGGCTAAAATTGGCGATTCTCTGTTCCCCGTTCAGGAATTTTGTTCTACGCGTTACTTGGCCGGATAACGAGAACGAGACTGGAGGTCGAAGAGGGAACAACACGATCCAGATATCACCAGTTGCCTCTCTTATCAGCCTATTACGACAGTAATAACGTTCTTGATTTCACCGACTTACGGATCCAAGCCTAACATCATTACGACTCGCGCGATACAGTCGATCAGTGCCCAAAAATCCGAGTTGGAAAATCTGCGCGAACAAATTTCCATACAGATGGCGCTTCCTCCCCATTAGAGATCTCTGGCGCGAGGTCCGGGCAAAATTTCGGTTATTTCAAGCGATTCGACTAATTGCTTTTCTCTCGGTGCTTTCGATGGACGGGAACTTTTGCCGGTTCAGAAGGGATTGCCGCGGTGAGAGAAAGGCACTATAGAGTTTCTGTTTTAAGTTCGGAAATCGGTTTACGAGATTTCGACGGATGAGAACACGTGCGAGGTTTGAACTCGCCGCTCGCCACGGAATCCCGGATAATTAGGAGTCGCTACTCGTTCGTCCGCCATTTTGATAGTACGGAAAATTTCCAGTAGAGGTCTCGCCTGAGTTATTAAAGTTATTAAAGACTTCACTGAAAAATCAAAGCAAGCGTCTGTCAATGCAGAGCGCACCTCAAATTCGACGTTTGGCAACCGTTTGGTTGGTAATTGGGACTTATTTCTCGCCTCTGTCGATCAGCTCGCGCGATAGTAACCTTTGCTCGCGATCGACGAGAATCGATAACCTCCGCGTCCGTCGCGGTCCGCTTAAAATATGCGAGATCGAAAAAGCGAGTGACCCAGTTAATCGGGATGGTTGGATCGCGTTTAGGAGCGATAATTATTCGAACGCTCTAGTTTGCCGGGCAACACTTGACTAAGCGCAGAAGACTTTCCAACGTAAACAGCATGGAATACGATGTCCGACGTTTTCTTTCTCGAATAATTATTTTAATAACCGCGCGGCGCGGTTATTAACGGAGAAAGGATTGTGATGGAAAATAGCGACTCACCGTGGGCTGACTTTCTTCAGCTCGCCTAGCGTGGGGTTGTACGAGTGATCCTCGCCGCTGATCCTAGCCACTCCTTCGTACACACTAACACCGTAACTCTTCACCACGATATCCACTAAATCGGGGAAGCTGTCGTGCACCTCGGTCTTCTCGGTCCTCGAGTCTCTAGCCTCGCTACCACTCTCCTTGGCACTGTTCTGCGTCGTGCCCGACACGTCCCCGCTGCTCTGCTCCTTGCTGGCGTTCAGTCTCTGCAAGAACTTCCGTCGAAAGTTGTTGTAAATAGTGTCGGTGTTGGGGTCGTCGCCGACTCGCACGCGACCGTGGCTAGGCACCAAATGATGCCCGCTGTACCCCAAGTCCATCTGAAGGTCCATCACCAACAGAATAGTAAACAATATCGCGAACGCGCTCAGACCGAGCATCAGTTTGTCGCGGATTCTTATCATCCTGATGGTGAACCTCATCTTTCCCTCGTTCCAACCCTGAACGACCTTGCACTCTTTAGACTTCACCCTCTTCTTCTTCGTCGGGGGTCGTGCTTGACCCTTGCTCCGAGTCTTCCCGGGAGTTGGATCAGTGGCGATCAACGAACGGCCAGGTTGCCGAGCATCGTGGTCGTCGTCGACGTGATCCAATTCGCCGAGGTTCACGCGGATTGTCACGAGATCCGAGTCACCGAGAGCATCGTTCACCGAGGTAGACTCTATACGGAGACCGGGACAGACACGTGATCCGTGGGACGGCTCGTGAACGGGCGTCGAGGGGTGACGAACAGTCGGCTGACCGTAGCTCGAGTTCTCGTCCAGCCTGTTGGCGACTAGTCGCTGTTTACTTTGCTCTTCCGCAGGCTCGCGGTCTCGCGTCTCCGCCGCGTCGTCCCCACCGCTGGTCGCGAAATTGGCGAGTTTGCATTTTACGTGCGACGTAGCCGTGGGTCGCGCGTGCACTTGGTCGCCTCGTATTCGCGACTTCCTTGCCGGGACGAGCTTATCGGCTGACCCGTCCCCGTTATCGCCGCTCCACTCGAGCCTCGACGACCTCTGAACTTGCCAGTCGTCCGGCGGAGGCGACCGTTTCGCTTTCCACGATCGCCACTCTACCTTCTTCCGCCACTCCGGCGACCTTGACTGCTCCCAGGCGGGTCTCCGCTGGTTGCACGCGGACCTCGCGTACCTCCTGTGAGCGATGGGCGAGCAGTCAACTGCCACGGAGTCTATGGAGATCTTCGAGATCGGGAAGCCTACCTGGAACTTGTGGTGGACCTGCTCGATCGCGTGGAACAGGCTCTCCTCGCTCCAGGACCTCCTCTGACAAGGTTGAAGAGCCTGTAGAAGCTTCGTAGACTTTTCCAAGCGTCTCCTAACGAGCACGCGTTGCTCCAGCAGCCTCAGATTGTCCTCCGTTCGAATGAGTTCCTCGACGTCCTCCACCGAGACGCTTTTAGACGAATCCTCGTCGTCGATCGAGCGAATCACCGAGATCCTGTTGGAGGAAGCGTGGCTAGGTGGAGGCTCGTGATTGTTCCCTTGGACCTGGGGTTCCTTGTGCACCAGCAAGAAATCGTCCTCGATCAGCTCCGCGGTGGGACAGACGACGGAGACGCGGATGTCGGTGGACTCGTCGGGATAGAAACTTTTGAAAGACTCTTTACCCACGCAGTCGACTTCCGGCGGTTTCTTCTTCGACTTCTTTCTGCGGACCGGCGGCTCTGGTCTCTGCTCGTCGTTAGGCAGGAACTTTTTCCGCAGAACCAGCGGGCTCTTTTGAATATTCCTCACCAACCTCTCGCAGCCTTCGGCTATATTGTCCTTCGAGCTTCTGACGAATCTTTTCAGGAACGAGTCGCTCTTGTGCAACTTGGCGCGAGCTTGTCCTTGCTCCGCGAGGGCCTTGGGGTCGCCAGTGTCGAGGCTCTCCTCGCCGGGCTTCCTCGCCTTCTCCCTGAAACCGAACTTGAACCTAGGCCTCTCCGAGTTCGCGGACGGCTGCACGCGATCGCTCAGGCTCTGCTTGATCCTGCCGGCGTTCCGTCGTGCCCTGAATCGCCGATCTCCACCCGCTGTCTTCGAATGTCCGGCGGCTTGCACGTGTCGTCTCCTCTGTGCAGCCACTTCCGGGACATGTCCTCTCGTCCAGAGTTCCCCTCGATCCCCAGACGCGACGGAAGCTTGGAATGTCGGGCGGGAATGGCGAAATTCGTGCGAGGTGTCGCGAGTACCGACGTCTTGGTCTGCTTCTCTACGTGGCTGACAGGCTCGTTGCTTCTCTCGCGGCTTCTGTTATATATCGAACGTGTTTCTGGATACCGTCAGCCTTTCGATTCCTCCGCGCCGCGGTCTGCAAAATAAACGAAAGCCAGGCGTTAGGTGACTGACCGGGGAACCAAATCGCGTTTCGGATCGAGGAACAAAGTTCGCGGAAAGTGACGTTCAAGAGTCCTTCTCTTTGAACCTATAAACCTCGATAGATGGTATCTGGTTATGCAAATACGATAGATCCCACGGTTCTCGGAGAGTCCCCGCTGTTTGCCAGCAACTAGCCAGGTAACGAGTGTTGGACGAAACGCGCGGTTATGCGAGACGAAACGGAGGCAATTATATCCCAGAGGTACAGGCGAATTCGATAGCGAATTCGTGCAGGACAGATGGGAAATCCGCTGGCGTAAATCCACCGTGCTTCTGCAGCCGGTTATCGCGGAAGGCCGTGGAATATCTGGAACGCGGACGGGGAACGTTTATAGCCGTAAAGATGTGGCAAAAAGCGAGGCTATTGGCGCAGAGAGACGGTGCTCGAGGAAAAGCCCGGCGAAACCATCGAAGGAAACCCGACGACCATCAACCCCCGCGAACCGTTTCGATCGTCTAAAAATAAATCAACGCTCTATGGTATAATAATAGCGGTGCTGCAGCCTTTTTATCGAATTCCCTATGCAGGTGCATACACACGAGATGCAGTGGGTCAAGGTGGGGCCTTTAAGGGGATGCTCCGAGGTGTGGGTGGCCGTGCCGGCTGAAAGAGGAGAGATATCAACTGTGAAATAGAGTGACGGTAATGGCGTGCTTCGTGTTGCGAGAGTGGCCATTACAGTTATCGCAAAAGTCGCGTCATAAAGGCGATGTGGTGGGAGAGGCGCACCGAGGATGGCCCGGAGAGAGAGAGGGAGAGAGAGAGAGATCGTAAAGGCTCCTTCCTTTCCTGTCTTTTATACCGAGGAAACATCGTTGCACCGAACAGAACCGCATAATTTAATATCTCGCATCGACCTGCATTAAGTTCAATAACCGGAAAAGGGAGCCAGCCGAGGGGTGGTTAACCCTAAGAACGAAATTCGACGGATCTCGATTATTAAATCGAACGCTTCGCGGACTCCCGAGTCGGCAGGCTCCACTTAGTTACCACCCCTCCCGTCGTCGAGTGTTTGATCCTCGGGAAAATTCGAATTTTGGCCCGACAGTCGTGTCCATATTCCGATTGCCTCCGAAAATAATTCGCCACAATAGCACTGCCTCGTAATTTAATTCTCTCCAATGGAGAATTTACCTGACTTCGTGAACCTTCTATTTTCCACCTTCTTCGCCTACTTCGCGCGAGATATTAACGGCAAACTAAGTCCATTACCTTCGAATTAAATGTAACGAAAAATACGCGATAAAATTTTCATTTATCGCGATATACACCGTCGCGAAGGAAAGACATATACGTGTATTTGTGCTTAATTACCACCCCTATGGCTGTCGAGTGTTCGATTCTTCGCGAAATTGGAGCTTCTGGACTAATTATAATAAGTATACGTGAATCGATTACTTCCAAAAAAAATTCACCACTATCGAATTTCCTCGAAAAGATAATTTTCTCCATTTTGAGTCCCTTCTGTTTTTCATCCTCCCCGATTATTTTCAGCGAGAAGTTAGTGGCAAACTAAGTCGATAAACTTGGAATTAAACGTAATGGAAAATATAGGATAAAAATTACCTTTTATCGCGATATATACCCTCGTGAATAAAAGATATATATATATTGGAATTTTTTTATTAATTGTCGTATCTATATACCGATTACTTCCAAAAATAATTCGCCCCTATCAAACTCCCTCGTAATTCAATTTCCTCGAATGGAAAATTTCCCCCATTTAGTGTCTCTTTTATTTCTCACCCTCCTCGATTATTTTCCGCGAGAAATTAGTGGCAAACAAGTCGATTAATTTGGAATTAAACGTAATGGAAAATACACGATAGAATTACCCTTTATCGCGATATACGCCATCATGAATAAAAGATACATACATGTATTTGTGCTTAATTACCACCCCTATGGTTGTCGAGCGTTTGATTCCGTATGAAATTGGAATTTTAGGAGCAATTATCATATCTATATACCGATTGCTTCCAAAAATAATTCATTACTATTGAACTTCCTCGTAATTTAATTTCCTCGAATGGAAAATTTACCCCACTTAGTGTCTCTTTCATTTTTCACCCTCCTCGATTATTTTCCGCGAGAAATTAGTGGCAAACAAGTCGATTAACTTGGAATTAAACGTAATGGAAAATATACTATAGAATTACCTTCTATCGCGATATATACCCTCGTGAATAAAAGATGTGTACGAGTATTTGTACTTGATTACCACCCCTATGGTTGTCGAGTGTTTGATTCTGTATGTAATTGGAATTGTGGGACCAATTATCGTATCTATATACCGATTACTTCCAAAAATAATTCGCCCCTATCAAACTCCCTCGTAATTCAATTTCCTCTAATGGAAAATTTCCCCCATTTAGTGTCTCTTTTATTTTTCACCCTCCTCGATTATTTTCCGCGAGAAATTAGTGGCAAACAAGTCGATTAACTTGGAATTAAACGTAATGGAAAATATACTATAGAATTACCTTCTATCGCGATATATACCCTCGTGAATAAAAGATGTGTACGAGTATTTGTACTTAATTACCACCCCTATGGTTGTCGAGTGTTTGATTCTGTATGTAATTGGAATTGTGGGACCAATTATCGTATCTATATACCGATTACTTCCAAAAATAATTCGCCCCTATCAAACTCCCTCGTAATTCAATTTCCTCTAATGGAAAATTTCCCCCATTTAGTGTCTCTTTTATTTTTCACCCTCCTCGATTATTTTCCGCGAGAAATTAGTGGCAAACAAGTCGATTAACTTGGAATTAAACGTAATGGAAAATATACTATAGAATTACCTTCTATCGCGATATATACCCTCGTGAATAAAAGATGTGTACGAGTATTTGTACTTAATTACCACCCCTATGGTTGTCGAGTGTTTGATTCTGTATGTAATTGGAATTATGGGACCAATTATCGTATCTATATACCGATTGCTTCCAAAAATAATTCATTACTATTAAACTTCCTCGTAATTTAATTCTCTGGAATGGAAAATTTCCCCCACTTCCTGTCTAAGTCGATTAACTTGGAATTAAACGTAATGGAAAATACACGATAGAATTACCCTTTATCGCGATATACGCCATCATGAATAAAAGATACATACATGTATTTGTGCTTAATTACCACCCCTATGGTTGTCGAGCGTTTGATTCCGTATGAAATTGGAATTTTAGGAGCAATTATCATATCTATATACCGATTGCTTCCAAAAATAATTCATTACTATTAAACTTCCTCGTAATTTAATTTCCTCGAATGGAAAATTTCCCCCACTTCCTGTCTAAGTCGATTAACTTGGAATTAAACGTAGTAGAAAATACACGATAAAATTACCTTCTATCGCGATATATACCCATGTGAATAAAAGATGCGTAGGAGGATTTCCAATTAAGAAAGGTATGGCATCGGGCGGTTCGTCCCACGATCCTCCGCAGATCTTATCGTGCATTGGAATTTGCCTTCTATCCTCGACAAAGTATCATAACAGCGAGTCGGACGACACGTTCGTCGATGAAATAGAATAACCCCGATCGAGCGGCACGCTAGCGGAATCTCGTGCAAGTAGAAGCAACGAGGACACGTGGCGTATTACGCGGGGGCCAGGTTTTATGGCGGCACTCTTTTACGGGGACAGAAACGTCAATGGCCCCGGCTATCTTTATTATCGGCCAAGAACACGCGGAATTTCAATGGCGCATTGATTCTCCGGCTGTATCTGCCAGGCGAAGAGTTGCTGCAGGACGTTTCGCCTGCGACCCGTTCCTACTACGGATGCAAGAGGCTATTCAGATCAAAGATTCCAGGGAAACACGGTTTTCCAATCGTTTCGGAGAGACACGATGGAAGAAGGCTACGAATGGACGATAAATCTAGGCAGACCTTTTTCCTTTTCTCATAGAGACACTTGAGCTATGATTTAACACGTTCACTGGCACGCAGTTTTATATGGTGCGTTCAGGGGGCCATATTAACCCTTTGCGCTCGACGATTTTTTGGCTAAAGAAGGCTACGAGTTGAAAAATTTTCTGCCATAAGGCTGAGAAGAATTACCTATAAAAGGAAGGTTAAACGACCCGAAATTAAAATAATAGAACGGAAGAATTTTGAGTACTTTGGAATACCAATTAGAAGTCCTTCGAGCACATACATGTCAACTACTCTGAACTACGATTTCCATCGAATAACAACAAATTATTCCTATGAGAATTTTCCATAAAAGGAAGGTTAAACGACCCGAAATTAAAATAATAGGAGAACGGAGAAATTTTGAGTACTTTGGAATACCAATTAGAAGTCCTTGGAGCATATACATGTCAACTATTCTCTGCTATGATTTCTTTTAAACAACAAATTATTCGTATGAGAATTTTCCATAAAAGGAAGGTTAAACGACCCGAAATTAAAATAATAGGAGAACGGAGGAATTTTGAGTACTTTGGAATACCAATTAGAAGTCCTTGGAGCATATACATGTCAACTATTCTCTGCTACGATTTCTTTTAAACAACAAATTATTCGTATGAGAACTTTCCATAAAAGGAAGGTTAAACGACCGAAAATTAAAATAATAGAACGGAGGAATTTTGAATACTTTGGAATACCAATTACAAGTCCATCGAGCACATACATGTCAACTATTGTCAGCTACGATTTCTTTTAAACAACAAATTATTCGTATGAGAATTTTCCATAAAAGGAAGGTTAAACGACCCAAAATTAAAATAATAGAACGGAGGAATTTTGAGTACTTTGGAATACCAATTAGAAGTCCATCGAGCACATACATGTCAACTACCCTGAACTACGATTTCCATCGAATAACAACAAATTATTCGTATGAGAATTTTCCATAAAAGGAAGGTTAAACGACCCGAAATTAAAATAGGAGAACTGAAGAATTTGCAATAATTCGG